GCGGCGAATTGTCGAGCCATGTCTTCAAGCGGTCGCATTAAATTCACACTCGGAACGACTTTACTTTTCGTCGATTCGAAACTAGTCCGTTTAGTTGGCCGATCACCCATTATAGGTAGGACGTTCCGTTTAAGCCAGGTGAGCCTTCGTGAGTGCCTCTCTCAAATAGAGAAGCGAAACGAGCCTATTTTCGTGATCGTTAGAAAATCCGCGCTATTCGACGTGGCACGTAATGACGGGCATTTAGAAAATCCGACCGCTTAATGCCGACACCGCATGGAAACTACGGCGGTACATTCTTGGTCAGTGGTTGCCAATACTGTGGGAATGTTATCCGAAAAGAATTTGAGAAAGGGCAAAAGAATTCAAAGATCCAAAAGTTGAATGATCTGGAGAAGCAAAGAGATTCAAAAAGATCAAACAGACTCGATTAAATCCAAGATGTATACAAAAGTAGAAAGATTTAAAGATCTATGTAGGAATAAAAAGATCCAAATTAAATCCACAATTAAACAGAAATCAGATCCGTAAATCTAAAGGAAAAGCAAATGAATCCAAAAAGAATTGAAGATTGTTCGAAGCGAAAAGGTGCAGAGATCCAAAAAATTGCAAGCAAAATCTAAAGACTTATAAAGACATAAAAGTAGGGCCAAAGATTGTGAAAAATAAAAGATCCAAAAAATTGCAAACAAAGTCTAAAGATCCATAAAAGTAGAGAGGGTCAAAGATTGTGAAAAGCAAAAGATCCAAAAATTCTCAAAAATCGAAAAAGCCTGCAAAACGGAGGAGATACTATGGAAGAGTGAGGAAGTGGGGATATTGGAAAACATTGGGAACCTCTATCCAAACAGCGTAATCGAGACACGGTTGTCGGTAGACGCATATCAATGAGTATTAGGCATACCGAGGTGTCCAGTGTCGCGATTGCGCGAATAGTAAAAGGCGGTTCATCTCTCGCGACGCGACGCTCGTTTCGCACGGGAGGGTGGAGAGGGAGAAGTAACCGTTCCTCTGTCGAGCTATTTTTATGGCACTTAGACTTTCCTCCGTGCGGCAACATGCTGGAGCACTTGAAGAACACTTGTGCGCATTCCGTTACGTTTACGCAACGCAGCGTCGTGGCTCGAACAACACACCGTGTTCGCCACAAGTCGAAGAAGAAGAGGATCGAGACCTCCACGTTCCGCGAACGGAGATCAAGTGGTGGGCTTTTTAATTTTCTAGTAGGCGCGGCTTTCCACTCCGGGGCCCGGTTCCGGCCCTTTTTTTTCTTTCTTTTTTTTTTTTTTTTTT